CTCTTTACTATTTAAAATGTTTGTGATCTTAGGGTTTTGTATTTTATTTTTTGTCTTTTTTTTTTTACAAAAATGGTTATTTCTGACCTTAGGTCAAAGGTTGCGACCCGGAAGGAAATATGTATACAACAGAAATCAAAGGAAATACCACTACTACTAATAATAATACTACGACTACTACTACTACTAATAATAATAGAAACGTTTTATAAATTTCAGCCGACATTAGCACCGGCTGTTCAGTCAATGAATGCTGAATGTTTCCTTATAAAGATACGGGTAACATTACAGTTTAATGTCAAAACATTACTTATAGATATTTAATATGCGTTACCGATCAAGAAGATGATGTATCCATTTTATTAAAGGAGCTATGGTGCCTGTAGACAGATAAAATGTATCTCACATAACGATGTTGAACGAGGTCAAATCAATCAGAAGTCCTCTATTTATCGTTTGACCAGACTTCCTGTTTTAACAATGGAAGTCTTTTTTCTTTGGTGATCCTTCTTAGGACTGCGCGCACAGGTGATGAATAAAGTGGTCGATAGTCAAGGAAAGAAGCTTTTTTTAAAAAAAAAGGATAGACTTATATTGAAACAATAAAACAAATTCTGGGCAATTTCCGCCAATTTCCTAATGTACTTTTTTCCACTTTTCAATTTCTTTCCACCTCATTTCACCGGTCGTGGGTTTCCGCGTCTTGTTTTGTGTTGTTCGTCTCTTCTGCACTCTCAGCGGAACAGAGTATATATATATATATATATATATATATATATATATATATATATATATATATATATTTTTTTTTTTCCTTAAAGAAAGGCCCTCTCTGTTCTGGAGAACGTAAAAACACACACGCACAAGGATGAACGAATAGGCGCAAACATACACATAACTGCACACACATACGCATACAGATACACCTACACGCAAAGATACACACACATGCATACATACACGTACAAAATCACTAACAAGCACATGCACATTCACGCAAACACAAACATCGTCACACACCTAATCACGTACACATAAACGGGCAAACGCATGCATACAAACGTATACATACAAGTATACGCCCACACTAATGGACACACACGCACATACATTCAGAAACACAGAAACACAGACACATGAAAACAGACATAAACACAGACTAATTTTGTTTTCGGTAAATCAACATCTATGGATTCTTTCATGAGAAAATGTAAATAATTTGTACTTGGTTATTTTTTTTTTTTTTTTTGAGATAATAATGGTTTTACTAATTAACCCATAGCTGGAGGAAATGAGGTGGATTCATGCCTTTCCCAAGATTATTTGCGCGCAAGTGAATATAGCGAACCCTACAGAAATTACAACTCGGCTCTCAGATTAACAATTCCGAGCCATTATCCATTACACCACCCGCACATCCTGGTATTCCCAGGCAGTCACCCATCTAGGTATTGACCAGGTTAGACATTGCTTAACTTCGATAATCGTACGGGAACCGGTGTTTCAACGTGATGCAAGCCCGAACTCAGACTAAAGAAGCCAGGAAAATATTTAACCATTTAATGTCAACTGAAAAAAAAAAAAAAAAAAGCTTATCGAAAGCAAAACTGATTAAATCTGCTTCAAACTCAACTTTCCGAAAATTGTCTGCAAAGTTCTCTTTACGGGATTGCCATCAGCAGCTTTTTAACGATCTCCTTATTCTCGTGCACGGTGCTTTAACAACAATTTTAGTTGTGCCACCACGGAACGGCGACAGTCTGTTTCGTGCTTGAATTCAATCTTTGAGGCTGACGATTGCGTTCAAGCATGAAACAGACTGTCGCAGCTCGGTTTTGACCTCAGTGTCCATTTTTACATTTCTCTCTTCCCCTTCTCTCTCCCTCTCTCTCTCTCTCTCTCTCTATATATATATATATATATATATATATATATATATATATATTCTATTATGTAGTATATATATATATATATATATATATATATGTATATTCTATTCTATTATATATATATATGTATGTATGTATATATATACATACATATATATATATATATATATATATATATATATATATATTAGAAAATTACCTTATGAGTAGAGATTATTTCAACTAACATCAATGCACTAGCATTTTTCAACTCAAATGGTGGACTGATACAGTGTTAGAAATTTAAAATTAAACTATTTACATTGTTCGGACTATCGTCTTCATCTTTGTTGCCAGATCTATCACAACGATTCTGCCGTTGTACGCTCCGGCTCTCTTCAGATGTTTGGAATTTTAAACTGAATCCTTTATTTCGCTCGCTGGGGTAGACTGTTCTAGTTCCACGTGCCATATCTAATGGATGTCAGTTATCGGTCTCTTTGGGTCACTGTATCTAACTAACACCTTCATCCACTGTGTCCTTTAAAAAAAAAAAATAAAAGAGACAGCAGTTGAAAATTTGATATTGAGCTAACCAAAGAAAATGGCCGAGTGGTGCCATTTAAGCCAGACAACATCCGCCTTCCCCTTGGAAGGCGGATGTTGTCTGGCTTAAATGGAAAAAGTCTCCACAAATTCAACCCAGATCTTAACCCTAACACCCCCAAGTCGGGGTTATAATAAAAACTGAAGGGAAATTAAAGGATGCCCAAAAAGAAGAAGTTAAAAAACCAAAATAATTAATCACTATAAATATAACAAAAACAATAAAATTTTTTACGATTAAAAATTACCAAAATATGATAGCAAATAAATAAGAATAACAATAAATCGTTTTTAGATAGTTTATATTAAGAAAAAATAACAACTAAAAACAAACACACACACACACACACACACACATATATATATATATATATATATATATATATATATATATATGAAGGTAAGAGACAATAGCAAAAACTGTATTATTAAGCGAATTTAGAAAACGCTATTGTATTCATATTGTCAACTGAAAATACAATATGAATACAATAGCGTTTTCTAACTTCTCGCTGCTAAGGACATTTTGTTTGTTGTTAATAGTTATTTTGCTTCCAATAAATTCATTTCATTTTTGCCTTGAGAAAGTTCACATTAGACGAAACGCGTCGGCTAATAAAACAGTTTTCCTATTGTCTTATACCTTATACATATTGTCTTTTTCTACGGATTAACTCTGAGAAATTTTTCATATATATATATATATATATATATATATATATATAATTTGCTTGAGGATGAAACTGTGCTAGGTACTTTAATTTCTATAATTAAATTGAAGTTTTTAGCTTCTGTTTTTAAAACATGAGAACTCTTATGTAGCGATGGAATCATATTTTTAAAAAGATAATTATAATATAGGCTCTACTTGTGTATTGACCACTGTTTTTTAAAAATAAAATTAAAATACTAAAGAACTTCGGATTATTAACCTAAAGCTTATTTCCTATTTTCTATATATTTACACACACACTCGCTTATATATATATATATATATATATATATATATATATATGTGTGTGTGTGTGTGTGTGTGTGTGTGTGTGTGTGTGTGTGTGATGCCAAAGACAGTATGAAGACAAAAATACTGTCAGTCAACTCTTCAGGGAGAGTCTGAAGTTATTAGGAGTGTTTTATTTTCCGAACACTGTCAGCACATTGTGGCCACGTTCATAGTGTTGGCTAGATAGGAAAACTACCTCATCGTCCAACAGATTAGACTCTGTCTAAAGTAACTAATAAAGATACTGAAACTCCAGATACAAACAATAACATTAACATCTACAAAAGCCAAATACATGTCAAATATAAACAAGACGAATTTTCTCTTAGAAACATCATAAAGAAATCCACAATCGCAGTCGACCTGAACAAGAAAATTAAATTATTTATTACAAAAATTCAAAACAGATAACTTTATCATCAAAAATAACAACACACTTGCAAATTCAAAACGAGAAAAAAAGCCATCATTATTTACGAGTTCAAATGTCCATTAAGGAACTGACGGTGAAGTAATGGATAGTAATTGAGGAACCGGAGAGCCGAGTTCGAATTCCAGTCGAATCCATTACATTCACTTACGTGCCAATACACTTGGGTATGAAATGTATGATTCCTCTTCTCCCCACACCGACACATACAGCTATGGGTAAATAGTAGTACAGACCGGGTTCTATAGCCTTGGATGGCAACTGGTCTACCGCAGAAAGAAATGGCAACCTACTGCGGGAAAAAATCTGCCTCGTCAGCGGGTATCACATATGAAGCATAACTGACTGAACTGTTCCTGATCAGACCAAACTTATAAATAATTACATTGGTTACAATACTACATGCCTATCTGGACGACTTACGTTACAGCTACCTGACCATAGTTCCATTAGGACTCATTTAAACACACACACACACACCTACCAGATTCCACCCGAAACATACTAGTAGAAAATGTAATGTGATTTGAGCTTAAAATGACTTTTGTAGAGGTTGGTGCAAAAATAATGTCGTTTTTGACGTTCAACTTAACGTCAAAAACGACATTATTTTTTTACCAACCTAATAGAATCGAATCACACTAGCATTGACCATTGATTAGGTTGCTTTTTTATCCCTCTTTCTCTAAATGTTCGGTTATCCCCCCGGGTGACCATTTATTCTGGGTCTTTGCAAATATTTCTTCGAAAAGGTGAACCCTAGATTTTAAGGGGCCGCCTGAAGATAGGAATATAAACAACAGATGTCGTCTGGCTTTTCTGTTAAATCAAACACGAATAAAGAATTTCCCTTTCCTTATTTTTTTTTTTTTTTTGAAAAAGCAAAATGTGCAAAAAAAAATATTGTCTGGTCCTACGAGGAAAATCAGGTGGCGTAAATGGATGTCAGGGTTTGGGACGAAGTTTTCCAGCTCAGCAAACCATACAAAAGTAGATCTGTCGTCGAACACGCTACATTCTTTTTTTTTTTATTTCTTCTTCTTTCTCATTTTTTTTTCTTTTATTCTCTAAACCCTTACCCCTAACATTGAAGTTTTCCTCTTTTTTGTTTTTCGCTTTTTGTGTTCTCCAATTTCTTTCTTTCTTTCTTTCTTTCTTTCTTTCTTTTCTTTCTTTCTTTCTTCATTCTTCCCTTCCCTTCTTATTTCCTCCTTTGTTTTTTCTTGTTTTCCTTCCTTCCTTCCTTCTTTCCTTGCTTTTCTTCCTTCCTCTCTCCCTTCCTCCCTCCCTCCCTCCCTTCCTTCCTTCCTTCCTTGCTTTCCTTCTTTCCTCTCTCCCTTCCTCCCTCCCTTTCTTCCTTTCTTCCTTCCTTCCTTCCTTGCTTTCCTTCCTTCTTCTCTCCCTTCCTCCCTCCCTTTCTTCTTTCCTTCCTTCCTTCCTTGCTTTCCTTCCTTCCTCTCTCACTTCCTTCCTTCCTTCCTTCCTTCCTTCCTTCCTTCCTATCTACCTCCCTTCCTTCCTTCCTTCCTTCCTTCCTCTCTCCTCCCTTCCTTCCTTCCTTCCTTCCTTCCTTGCTTTCCTTCCTTAATCTCTCCCTCCCTCCCTTCCTTCCTCTCCCTTCCTTCCTTCCTTCCTTCCTTCCTTGCTTCCTTGCTTCCTTCCTCTCTACCCACCTTCCTTCATTCCTTCCTCTCTCTCTCCCTCCCTTCCTTCCTTCCTTCCTTCCCTTCTTCCTTCCTTCCTATTAGCTATATTTATTTTTTATTTTTTCTTCTTCTTTCTTTTCATTTAATCTTACTTTTCTGTCGTTTTATTTTCTTCTCTCGCTTTATTGCCTATTATTTTTCTTTTTTTGTTCTCTTCCTTTTCCTTTCCTTAACTCCTTCTTCCTTACTTTACTCTCCTCCTACTCTTATATTCCTTTTCTTTCTTTGTCTTTTCATTTCTTTTTTCCTTTCTTTCTCTCTTTATTTTCTTTTCTTTCATGTCTTTTCTTTCTTTGTTTCTTTACTTTCGTTTTTTTCTCTTATACTTCCTTTTCTTTTCTTTCCTTGTGTCTATTTTTTACTTTGTTTCTTTTCTATCTTTCGTTCTTTCTTTCTTTCCTTTTTTCTTTCTTTTTTTTTTTTTTATTTATTTCTTTCCACCCATACTTTCTCTTCGTTATTTGCCTTTCTTTTTCATCCTTTTTCTATTTTTTTTTTAAATCAACTCATCATTTGCATTTCTTTTCCCTCGACTACTCGGATTTTTTCAACACACTTACCTCTCTATTTTCTTTCTCTTTTTCTTTCTTTTTTCTTTCTTTCTTTCTTTCTTTCTTTCTTTCTTTCTTTCTTTCTTTCTAATCAACCCCTTGGCATCTATTCTTCCAATAAATTATCTTTTTTCGTCTTTGTTTCTCTGCCGCATTCTTTGTTTCATTCTCTCTCTCTCTCTCTCTCTCTCTCTCTCTTTCTCTCTCGCCATTTTCTATTTTTCCCTTTCATTTTCATCTTTCGCCCTTTTATTTCTTTCAGGATTTCCGGATAGGAAACGCATCCATCTTTGATTGTTTGAATAAGGAGAAGCATTTCAACAAAATATGCTTTCATCGGCGTATTTAAATGAAAATTTAAGGGCCGTAAGCACAAATCAATGCCGGCATCATTTCATGCAGTGTTTTCAACAAAATCTAAAATTTTCAGCCATATTTACCCGAAAAGAAAAATAGCCAAGACTTGTTTTTATTGCAGATGTGCTGGGTGGAATCGAAAGCATTTTACTCGTGAGAAGAAAATATCGAATATATAGTGTGAAGAAGAACAGTTTAAGTTTGAAATCACCTGGGGGGGGGCGGAGTAAGAGCGAATTGAGGTTCAAATAGAAAAACTAAATAGGTATCTCTTTTGCTTTGGTGACCCGATATGGTAAGAAAGAAAGAAAGAAAGAAAGAAAGAAAGAAAGAAAAAAAGAAAGAAAGAGCATTAGAAATAAGGATTATATTTGTAAAGCGTATGTGAAAAGAAGAAAGAAAGAAAGAGTACTAGAAATGAAGACTATATATATATATATATAGAAAGCGTAGCTGAAAAAAGAAACAGTATACGTTGGAGAGAAAAGAAAGAAAGAAAGAACACTAGAAAGGAAGATTATAAAAAGTGCAGTTGTAAAGAAAGGAACGAAGAAAAAGAAATAAAAAAAGAAAAAGTATCTAAAAACAAAGACTATATTTGTAAAGTGTATGTGAAAAGAAAGAAAGAAAGAAAGAAAGAAAGAAAGAAAGAAAGAAAAAAGAAAGAAAGAAAGAAAGAGTATTAGAAATAAAGACTATAAAAAGCGTACGGAAAAAGCAAAGGCAAGAAAAAGAAACAGTGTCACTGCGGAGAAAAAGAAAGAAAGAAAGAAAGAAAGAAAGAAAGAAAGAAAGAAAGAAAGAAAGAAAGAAAGAAAGAAAGAAAGAAAGACAGAATCCGAGGTTGAACTTGTAAAAAGACAAAATGTAAAAAGAAAGTATGGCTAAATAGAGTAGGTAGAAAAGGAAGGGCTAGCGAAAAAAGAACGCAAGAAAAAAAACAGTATGCCCTAGAGGTAAGAAAAAAGATCAATAGAAATGAAGACGATATATAGAAAGCATGGGCGAAAAGAAAAAAAAAAGAAGATAAAAAACAGTATCCTTTGGAGAGAAAAGAAAGAAAGGAATTTTAATAACACAAACAATATCCAATGGCTAATATTATCTTCGTCTATGTAAAAGCCTAAAATGGCATTCTTATCGGCTGATATGAACGAAGACCTTTTCTCTTTACGGCGTTCCTGATGTCGTGCGTCGTCCAATGAAATATGTTCGCCTCTCTCACCTTTCCCCTCCAGCTGCCAACTCCTACGTTTCAGCAAGTCGCTATTTCGCTCAATGACATCTTCACTGCGACACGTAATTGGAGTCTGCTGTCGTGACTTCCCTGACAATGGTTGTTCAACGCGTTAGATATCTTTTCAGGCTTTTTTTTTTTGTACAAGGAAAAAGAATACAGGGTCGATGCAAAAGTTTCCAGAACCATCTTTCTTTGCGAAATATTAGGGAAATCTTAGAAGTTTCATTGAAGGCTCTTCGGCCTTTCATCATCATCATCATCATCATCATCATCATCATCATCATCATCATTCCCATGATCGAATATGGTTGTATTACCGGGTTGAAAGCCAGAAAAGTCATTTATGTTTAGCGTGTCTTAAGCAAGGAGACCTGGTGAAACCCGTCCCTCTCGAAGTCAAACCACAGTCGATGTCCTCCAACTTGAAAGGTCGCTTTCGTTACGGACACTTATCCGTTCTTGTTTTTTTGTTTTTTTTGTTTTTTTTTGTTTTTTTTCTTGTGTGAAGCCTTTTTCGGGGGAAACATCGATATGCATATGCTAGACTTCAGTCTAGAATGCTCTTATCGGGTTTTGTCTATGATATGTCCCGATTAAAATTACCAACAACACATTTTATAGCAAAACGGCCAGAAAAACATTCCATAGTAGAATTACCAGCAATTATTAGCAAAATGACCAACAATAAATGTTAACTGTTTGAAGGCATACAATTGCGTTCAAAATATATTTAGTTAAGCCATAGAATGGCGTTCAAAATATTTCAGTTTAATAAGGATTTCTTATGCCGTTAAACAAATCAGTAAAAGCAATAATGTTACAAATATGACGCATATAAAATGGGAAGCTTTTTTCTCCATCTATCATGTTCTCCAGGCCTATAAATTTCAGAGGATCACTTGTTTTACTCCAAACAATAATCCCTTTCGGAAATTTCTTCAATCAATGCATTGAATTAAAACTGACATCGTTCTTTTATGATCGAATACACAGTTTCTCTGAAAGGTGTTCTATTTCATAAAACTCTAGAGAAGGTACTTTTCTAACTGAATACTGATGCTATGAATTCGTATGAATACGAGATTTTCTAAAAATATAATAATACTGGAAAGTTTTCTATCAACTTAAATATTAAAAGAAATGAGGCTTCGATATTAATTTCTTCTCGGAAAATTCCTCCTGAACTTTGCAGAAAAACAGGCTTAAGTTTGAAGTCCTCGTCGGACAATTCCTCCTAAATTTAGCATGGAAACAGGCTTTAATTTGAATTTCTTCTCGGGCAATTCCTCCTGAACTTTGCTGTAAAAGAGGATTCAATTTTAAGTCCTAGCAGGATAATTGTTCCTAAAAATTACAGGAAAAAGTGGCTTCGATTTGCAAGTTTTTCTCGGACGGTTTCGTCTGTATTTAAAGGGAAAAAAGGTTCAATTTAAACTTCTCTTATAAGAATACTCCTAGAATTTACAGAGAAATAAGTTTCGATTTTAATTTCTTATGGAACAATTCGTCTAAAATTTACACGGAAAGCGGCCTCGATTTGACTTTCTCCTCAGCCAGTCCCTATGAAAAACAAAGTACTGGGCATTTCCTGTGATGGACTGAGTGAATCGAATGAACACTAAGCGCAGATATTAACCGGCTTATCAACCTACTAGACCAGTGGGCAACCAAGGCTTTCAAGGTCGAAAACGCTAGCTCGAATCACTGACTTGATTCATGATAGCTACTTATCAACTTACTGAAAACAGATATGTAACGTCTGGGGAAACAAAAGCTTATTTGAGTTAATAATGCTTGCGTCTGCGTCTGCGTATTGCGTGACTGTAGTGATTGGTTATTTTCGGAGTGTGTCTTACTTGTCAACGTGTGTGAGTGAGCGAAGCGTCTCGTGTGTGCAGTTATGTCTGATAAGTTTGCTTATAAAAGGCAAACCTTGTGGCAGGAAGGTTAAGACAAAAAATCGTCATGGCAAACACAGAAAAAAAAAAAAGACTCAAATATCGAATGCTTGACTTTCCTAAAGAATACGTTTGCCTTTCTTTCTGCAACGAGAGACCGTGAGAGACTAAAAATTTCTTTCTTTTTGCTTTTTATTATTTAAATTATTTTACGTCTATTTTAAAAAATTTTTTTTTTCCAAAAGGAAAGAAAAATCTGGCGTTTATAGATGTTAATTCTCGAAAACACCTTTAAAATTTAAACTTTTAATCTACACTCTATTCCAGGGTTGGCCAAACTGCGGCTCGCTAGCCATATGCGGCTCTGTGATCTTTCATATGCGGCCTGTTCAAATATGTTGTTTGAACACTTTTTTCATCACAGTTAATATAAAAAGCCAAATAAGGCAAATTTCAAGTTTTATAATTATTCACTGGGTATGAATTGAGACCCCATTCGATTAAAACGTAAATTTAATGTTAATGTGCATGTAACAAAGACATATGTGTAAATTTTGTTCATGTCTTGCGACTTTCAAACATCTGGACTCTGTAGTGTGTGTGGCTCTTACGTTAAGCAAGTTTGTTAAAGCCACTATCTATTCTCTACCTGCATGTCTTGGGACGGCAATGAGGAAATTGAGAAACAATATGCTTGGAAGACAGTGTTGCGCCAATTATCAAAAAGGGCATTGTTCTTTCAATTAGGGCAATTAGCATTGGAGCAAAGGGAAATTTTATAAGTCTATCATTTGGCTTTGCTTTGCACATTGCTGCAGCACCTGATCTGGTGCTCCTGCTATATATTTAGAGATTCTTGATAAAAAAAAGCATCTGCAATGTTATTGGTCCTGACCTGTCACTTTCCACCGTCGTAAGATATCTTCCCTGTGCTTTTCTATAAATACTTTCTGTTGTAGCATACCTACGGACGATAATGGGTATGTCCCTATTCACATAAATATAGTAGTGAATACTGTATGTTGGTCTGCAGTTTGAGATTCATTTCCAGCTATGCGGGTCAAACTCTTTGCCTCCGGGCAGAGATGATCCCCAGTCGAGGCTATGTCGAAGGGCAGAGTTTCGTCTCGGGAAACAGCTACCCGGCCCCGTTTTATATGGAGTCTACGGGGAATTTTTGGCCGAGCCTACGTGCTCGGATACCCCACATTAAATTCGGCCTTGTGCCACCCCTGACCGCGTGGCGCTGTTGTTAGATATCCTGCATTTGGATATTCATTGTGGAATTCACTTAACTCACTTCTAGCAGTTGACTACTTCTATGCGCAATCTTATATGTGTTGTTCTTGTCCTAAGTATTATCGTTCATTACCAACCTTTGTGTGATTATTCTATTCAGTAACCTTCTCTAGGTTACAACATTTTGGCGACGAGGATGAGATAAAATTACAATACTTTCATAGTAATTGTTTTGATGAAATTTCCTCTATGGTACCTAGACTTTAAACGTAATACTAGATTGGCAGCAAGATCTCATCATTTTACAGTTGAAACGTCTAAATCTAATCGTAAGTTCTATGCTACATATCTATAAGTCTACCATTCGTCCTTACTTTGAATATTGCTGCCACATCTGGTCTGTTGCTTCTGTTATATATTTAGAGATTCTTGATAAAATCCATAGAAGAATCTGCAATGTTATTGTTCCTGATTTGGCATCTCGGCTTCAGTCACTTTCCCAAGATCTCCTCAATTTATAGTTGGAATGGTCAAATCTAACCGTAAGTTCTATGCTAACAGTTTCTTCGATCGCACTTCTCGTTTGTGGAAATCTCTTCCAGCTTCTTGCTTCCCAGTCACCTCTGACCTTGAAAAGTTTAAATGCAATGTCAATCATTATCTTCTGTCTTCTTAATTCTTGTTCATTTATTGTCGTCACTCCTTAATAGTAGTTTTTCTCATATTCTCTAAAACTCAACTAGACTATTAATAATCCAAATAAAATAATAATTTTGCTAAAATCCAAAGATGAATCTGCAATGTTATTAGTCCTGACTTGGCATCTCGGCATCAGTCACTTTCCTACCGCTACACGCACATCCATTATATGCTTTATGGAGTGTAAAATCAAAAAAGGATTTAATGATTATCCTCATTATATGTTTCGTTACTGGGACGCTGAGTGTTCGAACTTTTTCTTCTGGATTATAGTGAAACGTCGTTGCATGTGTGGGCGTGTTCAGGACTTGTTTGAAAGACTGAGAGACGAACTATTCAAAAAATATTAAGTAGTGGAGACTCATCAATTTTCAAAGAAGATAATGAATATATTGATCTGAATATTGCTACCACATCTCGTATGGTGCCAATATTTAGACCTTCTTGATAAAATCAGACGAAGAGTCTGCAATGTTACTAGTTCTGACCTGGTAACTCGGCTTCAGTCACTTACCCATGCCCGTAATGTAGCTTCCTTTTGTCATTTCTATTAATAATTTCAGGATAACAGTTCGAATGATCTCTTCACTATTGTATCTAAACTTTGTGCATTTGAACGCAATATTAGACTGGCGACGAAGTCTTATCACTTTACATTTGAGTTGGCTAGATGCAACCATAAATTCTATGCTAACATTTTCTTTTCTCGCACTTCTCGCCTGTGGAACTCCCTTCCGGCTCCACGCTTTTTCAGCCGACTTTATAATTCACAAATTTCAATGCAGCATGAAGCATTATTTTCTATCTTCTTTATTCCTTTTCTTTTATTGTTTTCTTTCGTTAGTAATGTTTTTATTTTTATTATATTCTTTCCCTTTTAGAAACACTCACCCTATGTCTTAGTGGCTTTGTTGCCTTCATTGTGGTGAAATGATTAAACAACAATAGATTTAAGGGTTTTCTTTTATGGATTTTAAAGTTTGTACAATTGTCCAAATGTTTGTTGTTTTTGAGCGTTGTTTCCAAGGATTATTTTCTCTACAGTACTAAAACAAATGGTATGGAATTTCCGTTGTGGATGGAACAAAAGTTGTTGAAAGTAGACATAATCTTCATGTCAAAATACGGCCAGTACATTCTGGCCGTGTTCATAATTAATTAAGGACAATTTCCTTTTTTAAGTAATAAGGTCTTACATCACATTTGGACGCATTTTTGCAATGGCAGGTACGTATCACTTCCGTATTCTCGACAGTATGTTGCGTATTGAGGTTGGTACGATATCACGCTGGTTTAAACGTGTCTGTATTGAGGTCTGATCGGAGAGATATAGCGTCTGTCCCCTTGAAAGACATATGCTATATATATATATATATATATATATATATATAGCATATCTCTCCGATCAGAGCTCAATACATACATACATACATACATACATATATATATATATATATATATATATGTTAAGAAATGGACGAGGTCCGACAATTTATTTATTAAAGACATTTTTATTTATGTTTAACGTTGTTAAAATATAGATTTAAGTATTTAAGGAAATGCTCTGTTTAACATAAACAGTCATTTGTTTACATTTACCGGCCTGAATGTCCGAATTTTTCATAGAAAATTGTCGTTCATAGACAGGATTCGAACCTGCATCCTATAAGGTTCCGTCATATACGAGTGTTAAGGCTTAACCACTCAGCCACCATGAACCGTATAGTAGACAAGGTCGAATTTACTGTTATAAACGAATATTTTCCATGAAAATCAATACATTCATTACTGCTCTGGCGTATCGAATGTAAACAAATGACGTCATATGTTAAATAAATGGACGAGGTCCGACAATTTATTTATTAAAGACAACGTTAAACATATGTTTAAAATTGTTATTTATAGATAAATTGTTTAAGCAAATCCTCTGTTTAAGATAAACAGTATTAAATTACATTTACGCCAGAGCCTGAATGTCCGAGAAATTTTCATGGAAAATTGTCGTTCATAGACAGTAAATTCGAACCTGCATCCTATACGGAACCGTCATATACGCTGACGTGGTTAACCACTCAGCGTATATGAACCTTATGGTGCACAAGTTCGAATTTACTGTTATAAACTACAATTTTCCATGAAAATCTCGACATTCAGGCTCTGGCGTATCGAATGTAAACAAATGACGTCATATTATTAAGAAACAGAGACAATTTATTTAAAAGACATTTTATTTATAAATAACGTTAAACATAAAATAAAAATGTCTTTAATAAATAAATTGTCGGACCTCGTCCATTTCTTAACATATGACGTCATTTGTTTACATTCGATACGCCAGAGCAGTTATGAATGTACGAGATTCATGGAAGATTGTAGTTTATAACAGTAAATTCGACCTTGTCTACCATAAGGTTCATGGTGGCCGAGTGGTTAAGGCACGTCAGCGTATATGACGGTTCCGTATAGGATGCAGGTTCGAATCCTGTCTATGAACGAATATTTTCTATGAAAATTTCTCGGACATTCAGGCCGGTAAATGTTATTTAATACTGTTTATCTTAAACAGAGCATTTGCTTAAATACTTGTATCTATAAATAACAACGTTAAACATAAATAAAAATGTCTTTAATAAATATATATATATATATAATTATATTATTTGGTAATCCGTATGCATAATTCCAAAGAAGTTATAGATCCAGAGAGAGCTCAATGTAATAACAGAGCAAATAATAATTACGAAAGCGGAGACTTTAAAAGTTCATGTTAATATTTTATTTCATGAAAACTGATACACCGGTTTTAACTCATCAGACCAAATATTTTCACAAAAAAAAAATGTCAAATAATTGGGCTGATGACTTTAAAACCTAAGTATCAGTTTTCATGAAATATAATATATACCATGAATTATTTGGGTCTCCGTTCTCATGAAAGATATATATATATATATATATATATATATATATATATATATACTCAAAAAACTCTAGTAATGCCATTGAACAATACTGGTGACAGATTTTAACTAACCAAATCCACTAATAAATGTCGATAATACTCGACTTTAAACCTAACCACCGAATAGAGATCTGAATAGTAATCCGTAGAGTGATAAGTATAGATAAATAGTAATAGAATATATATATATATATATCTATATATATACTATAAAATTAGAAATAGTGATCCGTATAGTAATAGAGGATAGAATAGAAATGATGATCTGTAAAGTAATAGAGGATAGAATAGAAATAGTAATCCGTATAGTAATAGAGGATAGAATAGAAATGGTGATCTGTATATCTAATAGAGAATAGAATAGAAATGGTCATCAGTATAGTAATAGAGAATAGAATAGAAATGGTCATCTGTATAGTAATAGAGAATAGAATAGAAATGGTCATCTGTATAGTAATAGAGGATAGAATAGAAATGGTGATCCATATAGTAATAGAGAATAGAATAGAAATGGTCATCTGTATAGTAATAGAGAATAGAATAGAAATGGTCATCTGTATAGTAATAGAGTATAGAATAGAAATGGTCATCTGTATAGTAATAGAGAATAGAATAGAAATGGTCATCTGTATAGTAATAGAGAATAGAATAGAAATGGTCATCTGTATAGTAATAGAGGATAGAATAGAAATGGTGATCAATTTGACGCCACGCAAATTCCCATATATATATATATATATATATATATATATATATATATATATTTTCCTTTGCTATTACGTGATCTACTTATTCAAAATGGGCTCGACTGTGTTTGCTTACTGGCGATCTATGTTCAAGCACCGGTGTCGGCAGAAACGCTTTATTTGTATATAACGAACTGAAAGACAAGAGGAAAACGAGGAAAAGAAAGAAAAGGTTTTAGGGTGATTGTAAAGTGAAAAAAAAAAAAAGACGAAACGACAAATAAGTACGGTATTATACACGTACGCACATACGTGCAGATGGACGCATGCGCACACACGCGTGAACGCACAAACCCGCGCACGCAGGCATTATGAGAAAAAATTTTAAAAATACACTAATGAAAAATGCATATGAGAACGAAAAATCGAGAAGTAAAAGCAATCAATTGCTGATAACCCCTGAGGGGTGGACAGAGTGATTCCTGGAAGATATTATCTACGAAACTCTGGATTCGGGATGCTGAAGGTAACATCAATCAGCTAAGTTACAAACCTTTCACTTGTATTAATTATATTTAGTTTAAATCTTATTTTAAATGATACTCGTCTGTGGGTTGGGTTGTATAGACATCCTTTTTTTAAACGTCGTATTACATCCACCGGCCTGGGCACTCTGGAAAATTTGATAAAAAAACGAAGTGTCTTTTCAAACACGAATATACTAAAGGAACGTTTGTAGTATAAAAAATATCGGATTAAAAATAAAAATCCATTATATATATATATATATATATATATATATATATATATATATATATATAAGTGTGTTTGTGTGTGTGTGTGTGTGTTTGTGTGTGTGCTTGCAAATATATAGAAAAATAGGAAAGAACAGTTAGGTTAATAATCCGAAGTTCTTTAATATTTTTGTTTTTATTTTTATAAAACAGTGCTCGATACACAAGTAGAGCCTAGATTATAATGATTTTTAAAAATATGATTCCATCGATCCATAGGAATTCTCATGTTTCAAAAAACTAGGTACTTTAATTTATGAAACATGTGTATTCCTATGTAGCGTTCGAATCATATTTAAAAAAAAAATAACTCTCTCTCTCTCTCTATATATATATATATATATATACATATATTAAGAAATGGACAAGGTCCGACAATTTATTATAGATACAAGTATTTAAGGCCGGTAAATGTTATTTAATACTGTTTATCATAAACAGAGCATTTGCTTAAATACTTGTATCTATAAATAACAACGTTAAACATAAAAATGTCTTTAATAAATATATACATATATATATATATATATATATATATTAGAAGAAATCGGATGTCTTATCACACTGATGAGCAGTGATACAGCGAAACAGTCTCATTGCGGATGACAATATACGCTCCCCTAAAAATTAATTAAGTTGGAGAGAAAGCGCTAATTTGTAAACAGTGACTACTACTGCTGATAATGCAAAACTCTTCTAACGAATTGAGTCCTCTCAGTCACTGGTGTGTTTAAAAATGTATATGCTAAAATTCACCTTCCCCACTGCCGGGCGCCAGTAGCTTAGGGTAGAATTTCCGACTGATGCCAAATCAGCCGGGTTTCTATCTAAACACAGAAGTAAATTCTCCCACCCACCGATAAACATATTCAAATGAGCATAAATGATCCAAATTAAAAAAAAACCAGTTTGTCTGATGATGACAAAATCGTGAATCCCATATCCATACAACTGAATATGTTAGCTCAATCACTGATATTGAGTGCTTTCCACTAAGTACTACGCATATAAAATTATATATATATATATATATATATATATATATATATATATATTCGCTTGATGATGAAATGTAACTAATGTCTTTAATTTAATTACAAAATTAAATTCTGAGCTTTCAGCTTCCATTTTTGAAACATGGTTAGAACTGTGTAGCGAAAAAAACATATTTTAAATCAATTAATATATATATATATATTTCCTTCGTCACCGAACCCCGTTGGTACAGATGTTATGGCGTTTGCTTCCTATCGTATCTGTTAGGGTTTCAATTTTCGCACTGCCGATGAATCCCAAATATAGGACGAAACGGCCGTCCAGTGTTTTCTGTTGAGGTTTCTTCTAGACTTGTTGAATTACTTAATTATGATTATTTCAAATCCTCCTAATTATTTCTATCACTTGTATATCCTTGCTTCAACCGGCTTCTAATGCGGCTTGGGGATAGTAGTTGTATATGATGTTAGCTTGTAAAAAACTTATTTATATGGATAATCTACTAAGCAGCTTTCGTCGGGTTATGTCAAAATTGAGTTAACGGTAACTGATTGTGAACAGCAAGCACCGGAAGGAGATGGTGGCCTTGTGCCAGACTAAGCAAAGTTCAGTAAATAATGAAACTAATGATTAATTTATCAGAGAGCACTTTGCCACCTTCACCTCGAAGAAAGAAAAGAAAAAAAATTGGTCATTGTTGTAATCCAAGTAATCGGGCAAACATTCTGTGACGTCACATTTTCGCGCCACACACTTTCCCTTTTTTTTTTCCCTTTTGGCAAGAGAGACTGATCGATTTAAACTTGGTGTCACTTCTATTTTTTTTTTTTTTTTGGTGTTGGTAAGTTCACTAACCAGTCTGGGCAGGTAAAATCGACTTCGAACTTATGTCCTACCACCACCACCACCAATGTTGTTTTTTTTTATTTTAGATATACACTGGGTGGGGGGAAACAACTATTCGTACACATACAAATTTTCAATGTCTGTTGTAGGTCTCTTTGGTTTGAAAGATTATTAAACAGAACATACTTTGTTCATATTAATCATATATTAGTGTCCGCGTGTTTGTTGTTTTTATCCAAATGTTTCGATTTCATCAGGTACTTCGAAAAGTACCTGATGAAGTCGAAACTATGCGAGATATTCCGAAACATGGTCTGATTAATTAACCGGTTCAGTTCTGAAGATTACTCTGATCGAAATCTTCAGAACTGAACCGGTTATTTAATCTGACCATATTTCGGGATTATCTCGCATAGTTCTTATTTAGTACTTCCTAGCTACTGCCCTCCCCTTTAGCGCTGAAAGTATTTTCGAATTTGGAATTGGAACTCGGCTCTCCGATTTTCAATTACGAGACGTTCTCCATCACACCACCAGATCCAAGCATTCCTAAACGGTCACCCATCTAGGTACTGACCCGGTTCGATGTTGCTTAACTTCGGTGATCGTACGTAAACCGATGTTCCAATGTGATATGGTCGTAAGCCTTTTATACCACTCGTACATTCCAAGCTTACTGCGCCTAGCATTCTCAAGCGGTCACCCATCTAGGTACTAACCCGACTCGATGTTGCTTAACTTCGGTGATCGTACGATTACCAATGTTTTAATGTGGTATGGCCGTTAGCGTTCGTCAGTAGGTCCACATCTCAATCGATTCAAGCCTCTTCTTCATCGGAATCATCCAAAAAATTACTCTGCGTCTAATAAAGCAGTATGAGAGGGACATGAAGACCCCGAAGAAAATGGGGTTCTCCAGGAATCAGTGCAGGCATAGGGCTTAGCTCTGAAACTAGGACCCCTGGAAGTGAACAAACATTATATCAATACTATCCCTGAAAAATTCGCCCAGGAAAAAGAAATTAAGAAACCTAAGGAATTGCACAATAGACAAATAATGAAGGCATGGCACGTGGAACTAGAATAATCTACCTTGGTGGACGAAATAAAGAGTTCGGTTCGAAATTCTAATCACCTGAAGAAGGCCGGAGCGTACAACAGGCGAAACGTTGTAATTATGGTAATGAAGATAAGGATCATAGTCCGAATGATGTAAATAATGTAAGTAATCATAATACCCCATCTCAAACATATAGACAGATATTGAAGGCCATGGCACGTGGAAGTAGAATAATCTAACTTGGTGAACCAAATAAAGGGTTCGATTCGAAATTCTAATCACCTGAAGAAGGCCGGGACGTACAACGGCCGAAACGTTGTGAATATGGCAGTGAAGATGAGGATAACAGGTGATTGATTTCTTGGACAAATCTTGTGCGCTCAAACCGACGATCATTTGTGGCCTTGTGTTAGCGCATCTATTGACGGCTTCCATTTTGTTCCGTCTATCCAATTTCACTTAAGAGGCTTGCGTCAAAGCGTCGTGTCGTTTTCGGGGATTTTTCCGACGGTGCCGGGCGCCTGCCTAGATCAATAACGTCAAGAAGTCACCTCGGCGAACCAATCGACTATGGTTAGATTCGAACCTGGGTCTTATGAATCGCATAGATAACTCGCTTGAAAGTGGCTAGCTGATGAGGTGAGGTTCGTTAAAGTATTAAATGCTGCTTGTTTTCTAGAAATACCAGATTTTACATAAACATTTGCTTTGACTGGTCTATTGCTGTTTGCTTTGTGCGTGTTTTTGGTTGATATACAGGTATTTGCTTAGCTCTAAAACTAGGACCTCTGTAAGTGAACAAACATGATATCAATACTATCCCTGAAAAAATCGCCCAGGGAAAAGAAATTAAAAAATTTAAGGAATTGCACAATAGACAAATATTGAAGGCATGGCACGTGGAACTAGAACAGTCTACCCTGGTGGACGAAATAAAGCCTGCTTAGATCAATAACGTCAAGAAGTCACCTCGGCGAATCAATCGACCATGGTTATATTCGAAACTGGATATTATGAAACGCACAGATAACTCGCGTGAAAGTGACTAGCTGATGAGGTGAGGTTCGCTAAAGTATTAAATGCCTCGACTCGTAACAGATTTTTTTTATGAGACGTATTAAGGTTCGGCGTATTATCTCCTAATCTGCAACAGCCACTATAAATAGCCTTATGCACGTCTTTGCTAAGATCTCTTGAGATAACAGCGTAGATAGCAGCGCGCCGTACCAACGACCGGACACCTGTAGTTTATTTGTTTAAAAACGGACATGGCACTTTCTATTTTTTGATCGTGGAATTATGTTATGTAATTACGGTATTTGCCGGCCTATTGGACACACCCAGATTTTGGCATGGAATTTTTTTTTTTAATTTTAATCGGTATCACCCCATGCAAGACAGTAAAGTTACTAAGACACAAGGGGTTACAGGGTGTAGAATTAAGAACAAAAACGTTAATTATGATCGGGAAGAGAAAAGAGTCATCAGGAGAACAGTAGATAGCGATTGTTATTGCATTTAAATTTTTGCTGAATATTTAGGGAAAAAAATGTACGAATTACAACCAAAATAATCGAAATTATAAACTTACCTTTGTGTGACCTTCTCACTAACCATAAAGAAACACTTACAGTATTACCGCAAATTATATTACTGGATTTTTTTATTAAAAAGATAAGGTTTAATTACCAAGACATTTTTTGGGAAAAGAAGAATTTTAGTACATTTTCATCACTCATTTATTAAAAATTGTTTTAGTTGTTTTTCAGGGAGCAAAATCTGCACATACAGTAAATTCATAAGTTCAAAAAATCTAGTTGTGTCAGTGAATACTGGTACATATGGTAATAAACAAACCCCACTCCCCAGAAATATGGTACTTGTTGGTAAATGAAGTCCTTTCGCATACATACAGAAAAGCAAATACCTGTATATCAACCAAAAACATGCACAAAGCAAACAGCAATAGACCAGTCAAAGCAAATATTTCTGCAAAATCTGGTATTTCTACAAAACAAGCAGCATTTAATACTTTAGCGAACTTCACTTCATCAGCTAGCCACTTTCAAGCGAGTTATCTATGCGATTCATAAGACCCAGGTTCGAATCTAACCATGGTCGATTGGTTCGCCTAGGTGACTTCTTGACGTCATTGATCTAGGCAGGCGCCCGGCACTGTTGAAAAATACCAGAAAACGACACGACGCTTTGACGCAAGCCTCTTGAGTGAAATCGGATAGACGGAACAAAATGGAAGCCGTCAACAGATGCGTTAACACAAGGCCACAAACATTCTAGTTCCACGTGCCATGGCCTTCAATATCTATCTATATGTCTGAGATGGGGTATTATGATTACTTATATTATTTACATTATTCAGATTATTAACCTCATCTTCATTGCCATATTTACAACGTTTCGCCTGTTGTACGCTCCGGTCTTCTTCAGGTGATTAGAATTTCGATTCGAACCCCTTATTTTGTCCACCTGGGTAGGTTGTTCTAGTTCTACGTGCCATGCCTTCATTATGCTCATCTTCATTGCCATATTGCATAATGTAAATAATGTAAGTATTCATAATACTTCATCTCAGAGATATAGACAGAAATTAATCACCTTCTCCCAGAAACTGTAAATAAGTCCCTGCTCAGAGGTGTGTTCTATGCGTTGAACTGTCGTCTGTAATAGGGTTTGTCTCGTCACCCTGGTAGACGGGTGTATTGGAAAGGAATAGTAGCCGGCCATTTCCTTAATACTTTATCTATTTCAAAATAAACGTAACTCTTTTACAATAGTTCACTCAGTAAATTATGAGGATAAGTGGGATAGAAAAAGATTGACACTTGACTTGAAGACAATGTAATGTTAAGGGAAGTATCCACACGGGAGTGTCCGAAAAAAGTAGCAAGTTCCTCTGTGTGTAGCTTTCTCCTTAAATTTCGAATACGGGGAGAAAGGAGGGTGATTCAACTCCGTGGATGTGTCATGGTGTATCCTAGATGTAAAGATCTGAACTGGTGGAACTAAATAATGATGCTCATCTGAACATTTTCCATGGCATTAACGAAAGAGTAGGTGGGTAGTTTAATAACAAGCGACGGATAATATAACACAATCCTTAACTTTTGCAGAAATATCAGTTAACAGGACAAAATCAATGCGGGACTTTAATAATATACAACACACATTCGTACAAACACTTCTCGGAGTTAGCTCCTCCTTAATTCTCTAAATGTTCACTAGGGGTCGCTCTTCCTACACTATAAATACTAGGCGACTTCTTGCCTCGTTCTATTTTTCTACGTTGCATTTCTACGGGCGCATTTAAAAATGTGATCTCTCGCAGAAATTTGCGTTTTCGCCCACTTATGGGAAAACGCCATGAAACACACATACACGTACGTACGACCATTCACTAAAATACAAACTCTTTACGTTCACACACAAACACAAATGTTGATGTCTTTGTCCCTTGTAAATTTGTTGTTCATATATATATATATATATATATATATATATATATATATATATATATATATATATATATATCGGTCTTGTTTGTTTTCTTTACATCTTCGGTTGGACTAAACTTGAGTCCGGCATTGTTCTTGTTGTTGGACCTTCTTCTAGCAGGAATAAACAGTACGTGTTTCTAATTTAACAATACATAAACCAAAACGATCCTCTACACACTCACTCAAAGACATAACCATTCAAACACAGCAACAAATACGAAAATCACACTCGTAACGTAACGAAAGGCGCCTCATGTCCATCAATGAACTGAAGTCTCTGCTCACCTAAAAAATGGAGGGAAGAGGAATTAAACTAAAGGAAATGGGGAGAAAAATAAAAAAGGGATAATGCGCATGCGTCTCTAGCTAAGTTAACCTGTCGCCACTGTGATAACTGCCATAAAAAAAAACAACTCGTCGTTCGTATTAATAATATTTCAATGAGAAACACTGAAGAGAACTGTTTAATCATGTGGATTAATATCCCAATACTAGCGAATGAAATAATGCGACACATTTTACGACATCTTCATAGTGAAAGTTGTTTAACATTTTAGTGTAGCGAAGGTCGGTCGTCTTTCTCCATAACAACTCATCTCGTCCCACTTCCCATATCTCGAGAGATCTCGTCTAGTTCTTATTTTTAGTCCTGTTCAAATATTGCTTGCCCTGTTTCTACTGTCTGGCCCAATTACTATGTCACTAAATCCACGAACCAAGGCTTTGATCTATTAGTCTAATGTCCCGTGCCGTAGTTTAAATTAGGGATTCAATTCATAATTCCCTATAGGTTACCTGAATCTGATGAAGACCGAGGGGATGAAACGATCGAAACGTTGTGATAACAACAACAACAACAAAAATAAGGACAATAGTCCGCGTGTATATAATGTGAATAATAAGTCCTCATTTCAGAAATTCAGAGAAATTATCATAAATCAATTATGTTTTTTTTTTTCAGATCGACGTCAGAGCCAACATTTCCTGGTCGGTCAATGAGTACATTATCAAAGCGATTTCGTAGTTAGATTAAAAGATTAAAAATAGACTACATTCCATTGATTAGAATAATCAGTAGGGTACAAATGTCAAGAAGGGGATATAGGTGGTGGTGGCAGTGGTGGTGATGGTTGTTGTCATAATAATATTAATTCTTTTTGCCGTGTCCCTTTAGGACGTTGGCGATCATGGCTCTCCACAATTTCCTGTG